AACTTGGTGATGAATCCCACTGGTTACGACTGCCCAGCAGGAACTCCAGTCAACTTCGTCCTGTAGCCAGCCAGGCACTAGGAAGCATGACGTTAATTTTCAAGTGTTAGATTTCAGGGATTTGATTTTTTTCAAATTTGACCACGGATTGTTCACACTGGTTGGTGGAAGCGCTAAAATAATGAACTGGTAGATGCTGGAATTCATGAGTCATTAGGTGAAGTCGCAGTGGCTGAATGGTGCACAAGCTTGACTTGTAACATGAAAGTTCTGGGTTTGAACCCTGGCGATGTGGTGCATACTTCCGATGAGTTCTAAACAAGGACGAAACACTTAGCTGTCCAGTAGTCCCTGATATTTGTCAACGGTTCTCTTACTCACATCAATTCGTAATCAAACCTGAAGAAAAGCTTTGCCAATAGCACCCGCCACACCTCCGTTTAAATAATTTTTGCAGCCTCTGAAAATGATTCGCAAGAGAATGAGGTTAGGCTATAATTTATTCTATTCAGTTGTAGAAGCCGAGTAGAGTAGGTGAATAAGCCGGTCAGTAGGTAGAATAAGGTCACTCATTGTAGATGCACTAATCTAACAGTATCAGTATTATTAAAATATTTCATTTTTGTGTCGCCTACTGAATATATCCGACATCGCATTTTAACAGATATAACATTACAATTAACATTCATCTTTGTTTATTACTATAGTCTAACAACATGTAACAATACTGTTACTTCACAAAAATAGTTCGTGTGGTGAAGTGTTAGAACATGACACATCAGAGGCTTATAAATAGATTCTTTTAGGAATTCTAGTGGTTTTTGTGTGAAAAATATATAGCAGTTGTTTTCAATTGGCAATAAAAATTACCTATTTGACTCATCACTCTATCTACTCTGCACAACGAGTATTCATGATCTATTTGTGTGAGTGTGTGTCTGTGTGTAGGTATACTCTGTTATTAAAAGCTTGTTATATATCTCAGCAATTAGAAAAAGTCACACGAGAGTATGATGTTATGAGATATTATAAGTAGGCTTTTTCATTTTATAAATACCATGTGACTGAGAGAAAAGAAAGTATTTACTGTATCACTTTCATCAATAGTAAGGAAAGTTGTGGGTGTAGAGGTTGGTGATTAACATTGGAATCCAGGATGTGCATTTCGTCCTATATGGATTTCGTCTTCACTGGATGTAACTAGAATCCCCAGCGAGTGAAATTCCCACTATGGGAACACCATCCACTAAATTTCTACATGCTGGTCGATATCCAGTCTGGAGATTAACCAATCAAAATTGACCAGTCTGGAAATAACTAATCAGAATTTGACCCAGTTAAAATAACGCCCACCAGTTTATTGATCATAATTACAAACTAATTGACACAACCTTGGTGACACTTTGAATCATACTTTATTGCGTAAAATATACTCTGCGGCTGACGTCGTTGTTTGTTCTCACTTAAGTAGTGTAGACTAGGGAAACAGGTAGCTGCCGTATAATGTTGTTGGCGTACTCAAGCCGTATTCGTGATCAGCGCGTCAGTGTCCAGCATCGGCGTCCCCGTTTCAGTCTCAACGTATTATGAAACATAGTACAAATAACATCAATGTTAATCTCTAGACACCGTCGTAGCCTCTGTGCTAGTGGCCAACATGTCATTAGACGCTTCAATCAGTCAACGAAAAAAAATCGATTTAAACAAAATAAGAAAGTTAATTGGTGGATGGTGACTAGCAGTGGAATCCATGATGCGCACTTCGTCCTATTTGGGACTCGTCACTGGACGTGCGTGCATTCCGCAGTGAGTGATGATGTTCCCGCCCGAGGCTCGAACTCAGTGCCCATAGTTTCAAACGCGCATCCTGGATTCCACTGATTGTCACCACCCACCAATTAACTTATAATTATATGCCCAGACATCGTCGAAGCATCCGCACAAGACGCCGACATGTCAACCTGAGACCGAGCACTTCGGTCCAATCAATCGGCGGGAAAATCTAAAATTGAATAAAATAAAATAAGGAAGTTGTTGAGATTTTTACTAACTTACAAAAATGTTGGATTAATTGTGCATCTTAATTCATTCATTTAATCGAAATTTATTTTCTCCCCAGTATTTTCATGCCTCATATTTTTCATATCCTTATCAAAATTGGAAACATTCTCAAGTGATGATTATGTTTTGAGGAAACACGGATGCGTGTATTCTTTGCGAATAGCTGATTGGATAATTCATTCTTGAAATTAAAGATAGTAGTCCCAGAATATCTCAACGAATTTATGACTAGCTGAGAAGTACACGCGTATATGACTCACTTACCTTAACGTTAACTGAAATTCTTCAGTCATTTCACCAGTATCTCATGTTTAAAAGACTAGTGCAACGAAGGACACAGACCTGGCAAAATTACATACAATAGTAGTATGGTGTGTGCTACTGATAAGAGTTTATAAGTAATATACTCGTCACGTCTTCTGCATGAATCTTGAATAGCCAAGGGGACAGATTAAGTTGCGAAGAGGAGTGGCGGATGTCATTGTGAAGCGATGTAGGAAGTATAAAAGAAGTGGAATCTGAATAGCTTTTAAAATTGTTTTTTATATCCTGGGTCCATGAATACGTCATTTAGCCAACTAAACAGTTCTACTATCAAATACTGCTGTGTTTTTCCATTACAGTGGTACAGTATAACAAACCTCGCATCAAAACTTAAGTTTGCACTTATTATTTCTGTTCTACTTCTTTCTAATCATATTATGCTTTGTGTTGGTGATCCTCCACCTCTCTTTTTTGTCCCTTCATGAATTACTCCTCTATTCAGGATTCTTGCCGTTGAGGAGTAGGCTGTGTAATATGCCGAAATACTAGGTGTGGTAAATGCTGAAGACTTTTTAAATCAAGTGTTCATTGTTATTTAGGTCAGTGGAATCCAGGGTGAGCGTTTCGTCCTGTCTGGGACTCGTCAACTGGATGTACTTGCATTCCCAGTAGGTGATGGTGTTCCCATTGAGACCCACTAAAGCGTTATTCATTAGGTCAGTAGTCCACTTTTTTATATTTGGTTTGAGTTATCATATTCCATTTTTTCAACGATTGATATTGTTGAGAAATGTTTCCAGTGCATGTATTTGTGGATTCACAGGCGATTAACTTGGTAGTTCGTCTTATTTTTATTTTTGTTCCTTTACATTCTAAGTGGGGCGTAGGCCTTCAAGCTAAAGCTGTGAAATTTCAGTAGCAGGGATTCTGTTTTTTCGGGGTGTTGGATTGCTGGCCTGACTCCCAACCTACCCTCTTTATCGGCCTTGCTACCGATTTAGCGAGGTTAAGAAGTTCATCGGTTGGGGGTCGAGTCCCAGACCACTTCAGTGGTTGGGAAGCATTCTAACGCTTAACCATTGACGCACAACTTGGTAGTACTACTTTTTTTAATTGACCTTACTTTTTGAGGAGTCGTTTAAAACTCGAAAATATTTAAACCTTTATCATTCTCATTATCGTTCCATTTGCTTACATAGTTCATTTTCACTGTAGAATTCTTTGTCTTATCTTCTCTATAAAAAACTGTCTGACTTATTGTACTATTTTTTTTCTTATGATTATCTGGTTTCATTTTATCATTCGTATAGATGCATTACTTAATTCCAGACTGGATTTTGTTACTAAGTGACATCAACTCAAGAACTACTAGAAACTAAGTACCATTTGTTTCCTCCCATTTGAAGGCTAGTTAGCAGTAAGCATTTGTGACTCCTTACGGAATTAAACCTCTGACCACTATTTCTAGTAGTCAGCATGTTAATTTACAGCTACTGAGTGGAGATTTGTGTTTTCTAACAGTTGTTCACCCTCAACATACTGTGCGTCGGTAGCACAGTGGTTAGGACTCTCGCCGACCATGCACATGGTCCGAGGTTCGATCCCCTGCCGACGCACACCCGATATCTATGGTTGACCTGTAAAATTTGGGCTACCGATATCCATGCTGAAAATGTCATACTGAAAATACGGTGTGGCATCAAGCTGTAACCAAAAAATAAAAAAAATAAAAATAAATTATCGTTCTCTGTTTACTTTTAGATATGATGGGCAAGATTTGTAGCTCAGGTGGATGATTTTGATGTGGTTGTGTCCTCTGAGCTGGATAGTTAATTTGCAAAGCTTTCGTTGCCCTACTAGGCAACATTTTCAATTTGAAGTGAGCTTTTAGATTTCTCCACGAGTTTATTAGTCATCTCTCCTGGTGATGTGACCTTGAACGTGATTGGTTGTTTTTGTGTTTTTTCGCACCCTGGTGTTGATTGTTTCCTTGATACTAAGTTTGAATTTTGTACATGAGGTTCCCTTCTTATCGATTGGTAAATTCTGTCTATCTCGACGTGTCTATTGGTTGACGATTCACTAGAATACCAGGCAGGCTTCTAAAAATTCTCTAGCATTCTTGGTCTTTCCTCTGTCTAATTTTTGAACGTTTCCCAGTCGAACTGATGTCCATGGTTGTCTGTATGTAGTGATATAAGGGAGTGGATATCATGTCTTTTGACGGCTAGTATATGATCATGGATACCAAGACGAAGGGGACGTCCACTTTGGCCAATGTAGTGTTTTTCGCAGTTGTTACAATTTATTTTGTAAATGATGTTGGTTTTATCTTCTTCCACTGTTGAGTCTTTTGGTTGACATAGAGCTGAGTGAAGTGATTTTGTTGGTTTGTGTGTGTGACATTAATTCCTAAAGGTTTGAAGAGTCTTGCAGTGATTTCTGAGATGCCCTTTATATATGGTAGGTTGATTTTCTTTGTGCTATTTTCGTGCTGTGAAGATGTTGCCTAGCAGGGCAATGAAAAGCTTCACAAATGAACTATCCAGCTCAGAGAACACAACTACATCAAAATATGTTTTTTGCTTTTATTAATAATTCTATACAAACGAACATGTATTTCAAATTTCGTATCTTTTAAAAATCTTTTGCTATTTTTTTCTGTTTTTAAATAGTCGGGCCATCAACCAATGGTTCGACTCTGGAATGTATCAGATCGTTGTCAACTGGCTGAATTCGGTGGTCATCATTTTCGTGTAGCAGCAGTTCGTTTCAGTCCAAATGATCAATATTTAGTAAGTATCGGAAGTCAAGAAGATCATACCTTGTATGTTTGGGATAGACAAAGTGGACAACGAGTAGCAAGCGCTAAGGTTACAAATCGGGTAAGCTTTTATTGATTATTATTTTATTTTGAATATTTTTAAATTATCGATAGATAATTCAGAGTATTATTATTATTGTTCCCTTGAGTTCCTACTGGAACATAGGGCTTCAAATGCACGTCTCCACTTGTTTCTGTCTTCTGCTGTACTTTTCACCTGCATCCATGTTAGTCCATACTGTTTCAGCTCCTCTTCACACGATCTCCTCCATGTCACCCTTGGACGTCCCACTCGCCGCTTCCCTTCCGGGTTCCAATCGAGCTATGGCCTGACGCGTGATGTCACCCAACGGCCTCCTCAGCGAGTTTCCAATCCATCTCCTGCATATTTGTTGGGCGATTGTTTCTTGTTTTGTTTGTTCCCATAGTTTCTTGTTGGTGATTCTTTCCGGCCATCTGATCTTCAGTATAGAGCGAAGACAGTTGTTGATAAAGGTCTGCAACAGGCTGTTGGAAATATTCTTCGTGACCCGCCAAGTTTCTGATCCGTATAGAAGAACTGACTGACTTGACGTTTGTATTGAAAATCCGAATTTTGTTGTTGATGCAAGCTGAGTGACGAAGATTCCCAGATTGATTTCAGGTTGATGAATGTGTTTCTCGCCTTCCCGATTCTCGATTTGACATCCTCGTCCGTTCCTCCTGTGGTTGAGACAATGCTCCCAAGATAAGTGAATGAAGTAACCTCTTTCAAATTCCTCCCGTTGATGGTGATTGGCGGTGGATGTTGCTGTTGTTGTTGTTGTTGGTTGGTTGGTTATTTCCATAACCTCCTTCTTATCTATGTTCACCTGGAGTCCTGTCTTTGCTGCTTCTTCGAGCAGTTTGTCGGTTTTCGCTTGTAGTTCTTCGATTTTGTGTGACATCAAACATAAGTCATCCGCGAAATCCAGGTCTTCTAGGTTCTTCACTTCGGTCCAGGATATCCCTGTCTTCTCGTTTCCCACTGTCTGACGCATAAATTTTACACTTTCTTTTACCAGTGATCTACGGATTATAACAACTACAGGCAGTTCGTGTCATTATCCCTCACGCCTTAGTCATTGTTCATTTCCATTTGCATAAACCCCAAGTGTGGCTGTTGTTGAGTGTGTAGCGCTGTGGCTCATTGGTCTGAAAGTCTGACTCTCAACCAGTGGGTTCGTGGTTCTAATCCTGCTCCATGCACTGAGGTTCAGGCTGCCCTGGGCAGTATAACCAGCTCTTACAACATAAAAGGTGTGACTCATTACCAGCTACATGGAATTCCAAGTGTTTGTCGAGCAATACTGAGATTGAGATGGATGCTGGTTGTCACTAAATGCGTTACTTGGTGACGAATTAGTGGGTTATGTTTAAAAGTATATGGATTCATCAACTTTTTCACAGTTAAAGATTTTCAATTTCTAATCATTACTAGTCAGTGAGTAATATATATAGTTTGTTTATCTGTGAATCGTGTGTATAAACATGATGCATGTGATGCATAAATCACACCACAGTCTAGCAATTCACGTTATTATAGATGAAATTAATGTGATTGGATCATTTAGACATTAGTAGCGCTCAGATATGTGTGATCAATCGGATAGGTAGTATGATGATGCTAAACGCATAATTAGAGGGGTGTTAAGGGGAACACCGACATTCACAGGTTTCAATGGATATGTCGTGCTAGTCAATGGTAGTAGGCTTCAGAGATGAACATACAGAAGTGTATTTTCATTGTTTCAGTCTAGTATATGTGGCTTATTGCATTAGAATTACTTTGTCTTTACTCATATCCTAGTGGCCCACATCCAAGCGGGGATATTTTTTGGGGGGAGGGGGGCGTGCTTTAAGATCACTCGATAATTATCTGGTATTCATTTATCTAAAGGAAAGCTTTGTGGTTATTCTTATTCCTTTGGGTTTTGAGTGGAACGTTGGGCTTCAACAGAACATCTCTATTTCACCTTGTTCTCTGCAATCCTCTTCAACTAGACCTCATGACTTCCCATAAGGGCCTATCTCCTCTTAACATGATCTCGTCCATGTCCCCCTCGAACTACAGCTTCTCTCGTCGTTTAACATTTTGGGTCCACTCAATGCCCCTCCTGGTGTATGATATCACTTAACGGTTTCCTCAGCATGTGTCCTATCCATCTCCGTTTTTTTCGGGATGTTTGTTGAGCAATAAGTCCTTGGTTAGTTCGTTCCCAGAGTTTCCTGCTGTTAATTCTTTCTGGTGGGCCATCTGATCTTCATTATTGAGCCAGGGAAGACACCTGTTGAAAAAAGTGTGAAGTAGTCTGTTGGGAATGCTTTTGGTTGAAAATCCGAATTTTATAGTGGTTGAGTTGTGATAAATATAAATTCATTAGCACCTCAATCGGTAGAGCTGTAATCACTTAAAATAAAGGGTTTGCAGTTCACCTTCTGATGAGAAATAGGTCTTTTTTCCTATTCCCACTTCAATCATTATCACATTGAATAATTAACGCCTAAAATGATTGTAGTTTATAATTTTCTTTTTTGTTTATTCATATTCTTTTTCTAAGAGTTCACCCAATTTTTTTAAATTTTTAATTATTTATATTTATGTTACTGAAAGGCTTAACTGTCTAAGTTTATATAGTATACAGTATGTCTTCACTGTTTTGTAACTGTATCTATTGACTGACGACGTTTCAACGTAGAGAACTTTGCATAGAAGTGCACCAGTTCGAGCTGCCACACTCTGTGTAGTACAAGAGAAAGACAAAATAGAGAAAGAAGGGATTCCAAAGAACAATAATAGACAGAAGCGTACTTAAGAAAGAGTAGTAACATGATCAAACGATGGTGTCTATAATGGATATGGTTGGTCACAAAGAGTGATGAATGCATCTGACCCATTGAAAACGATTTTGAGTCATATCATAAGTTATCTCCAGCCATTAGTACTTAAAATCCCTACGACTCCAACCAGGAAGTCTACATTTTCCTGCATGGTTGGCTCAAACTAACTGTTAGAGATTTTATGGACTGATTCCATGTTGACGTATGACCACCACCAGTTTATCTTCAACCTAATCCCATGTCAGCTAACATTATCCATCGAGGAAGGCGTAACATATCTCCTGTCCATCTCAGTCTATGTAAGTTCACAATCTCGACAGTGGATTTCCCCTCCCTACCGAACACTCGACGTCTAACCTCAATATTACTCACCGTATTATACCACCTAACATGGGAGAGAGAAAGCAGACACCTATGATCAAAGGCAGTTAGCCTTTTCATGTATTCCACTTTCAATCGATAAAGGAAGACAGAGCGGACCGGTGCTCAGTACACACATCTTTTGATCGATAGCCAGATATTACGTCTACGCTAGAGATGATGCAGGTTGGCAGACAAATGCCACACGAGTCTTTTATATGTCGCTTCTGAGATTTCATCAGCAATCAGCCTGGTGGGGCTGGTGCAACTTCCCAAATAGGTGAATTGGTCAACATGCTCTACCAATTCACCGGCTATCTTTAAGCTAGGTGTCGGTATAGTTGTGGCCTGTAGCAAATTATATGCCAAGCGTCCTAAGATTGCTGCTGAAGGTGTTCAGAAGACTCTACGTTTTACCAGCTTTTTTACCTATGGGGATTATATCATCCTCATGCTCTCAATCAACAAGGCTACCCCTTGATAACGAGTCAATCCCTAGGTTGCTGGAGTTAGTTAGAGTCACTCCCATTAGTATATCTATAATGAAATAAAAAAGGAGTGGGGACAATAGTTGGCATACGTGACGGACATCACTGGTTGTCATTACTTCAGATGACAAGTCTCCTTAAGCTCTTACGCGGCTTCGTGAGTTCTAGTAGAGTGTTATGCTCAGTGCAATGCACTTTGTATTTAGAAATAAATGAGAAGAGAAGGTCCCCAGTCATACAGTACCTCTGGATAAACCAATTTTGTGGTGTTTTGAGTTATTTTTTTTATCCTAAATGGATATAGCCTTAAAAACTCCAAAAATCTCGTATATCTTCACTTCTTTATTCAGATAAAGTTTTATTTAATCAAAATTTTGTACGGCTTGACATTTTAAAGAAATTATCCATCATAATTCATTCTATTGTTTTATATTTTTTTTTTCCCGATTGTGTTAAAAACAATAAGCAACTTAGTCATTACAGTATAATATGACCCAAATGCGTTGTTCAATATCCTTCTGTTTCCCTTAAATCTTTGTCCTATATCTATATGTAGTGCAAAGTCTCTGACAACTTTCAGTTTTTATTGCAAATTAATATAGCTAACTGTTATTTCCATTCATTTGAATATCTCTTTGTTGTTTGAAGGATAATATAAATCTTCTGTTATACAGACCGACGGATATATATATATATATATTCATTGGCCGTACATCATATTTTCTTTGTGGATAGGAAAGAAGAGAGGTTGAATTTTAGTGATTCATATCTGGCATGCACTTGCTATTCTTTTTCTCGCGCTTTTTTGATATGGTATTAATTATTGGAATGATCTGAATATTTGAAGTCGAAAGCAAATTATGATCCCAAATGCTACTACTCTCGTTGTTGTAACAGGTAAATTGGGAAGTGAAACCGCTAATCCTACTTACATATCATCCATTTTCTACGGACGTATGAATATCATAACTGGAGGGGGGGTCATACTAATCGTTTTATTGAAATACTTATTAATGCTAAGGTCGAATTTTAGTGTATTATGTGGCGCTTAATTCAGTTGTCAGGCCCTTTTGGTCTAGTGTGTAATTCTGGCCTATCACTATTGACCCCAGAGTTTCCACAACTACCATCCAGACTAGACTTAGGTTTTATGCTATCTGACGGTCAATAGTAGTAATATATTCAACGTTATCTTTATTGTTGGAATCTGCATCATTTGATGCAAATGTCAGAAACCTTAGGGATTGTCACTGAATAAAAATTGTTTACTTTTTCTTAAACGGTGAATACTAAAAAGAATATTTTCAGGTATGGTCTGCAGTCGATAAATTTCTCTCTTCATCACTTTTGCATT